TCACTCCCTGCATGCCATCCCAAGCCTTGACATAGATCAGAAGCAAGCAGAATACATGACTGATGGAAATCTATCTTTTTGTTTTGATGCCCTGCTATCAGCCATTCTAGAAGGATTTCCTTACTCTCATCATGTTCACCGATGTCAGTCAGACATGGCTGAAACAGTTGACCATGTGTTATTATATTGTCTCCTGGCACACTGGTTAGACTGCAGTACTGCAGTCAAACCTCTACTCGTAACTTGAGTTTAATCCCCAATGGATTCAAGAAGATGGCTCAAGGTTGACTCAGCCTTCCATCCTTTCAAGGTTGTCCTGGACTGTATTAATAAAACTCCTTCCAAGATGGCTGCATACTGATATGCTCCACAAAAGAGAGCTTAAATATCTTCATCAATTAATTGTTCTTGGAAGCAGATACTCCCTTTGCAGTGTGACTCAATCATGAAACTAGAGCTGTCTTTACATAATTTTTGGTCCTGTTTTTCTTGTGAGTTTTCATAATGTTTCAACAGTTCTACGTGGCTAATCTAGGATTAAGACGGACCAGTTGAAATCTACTAGACTTTATCTGCCTTTTGTTTCACAGCATTCTTACCACAGAACTGAAGCACATAATGTAAAAAGCTGTGCTTTACAGAGATTGGTTTGTCTGTCCCTATAAACGGACTAGCAACAGCTTCTAAGGGTATCAGGCAATGTTCTTTTCTAGCTGCGCCTTGAAATACTTGGCATTACCTAATAGTAGGAATGCTGGAATGCTGGCATGTCTTTGAGTCTCAAGTCCAAGTCTGAGCTTCTGCATCCAAGTCCCAAGTCTCAAGTCCCAAACTTCGAGTCTGAATCTCAAGTCCCTCTTAAAAAGGGATTTCTGAGCTGGAAAGCCTCAGAGCCTTTCCTTCAAAGCCAGGAAGGAGTGGAAGCAGGGCTTCGTCTTCCCCAAAGGCTGCCTCTCGCTAGAGGGGAGACCACCTTCCTGTTGTGTCTTTGTAGGTGATGATGAGTCCTCCTAGGAACTGGGACGGAGGCAGGAGAGAGAAGGACCTCAGATTCAAAAACTCAACTCAGAAAAATGGGTCCAGTCTGAATCAGTGGGGGAAAACAAGCAAGTTGATTCTGAGTTGAGTCAGCAACCTAAGTCAGACTCAACAGTGAGCTACAAGTCACAAGTCGCTTAAGAGTCTCTCACTCAAGGACTAACTCAATGCAATTTCACTCAGCTTCAAAAATCAGATCAGAACAATGGTCTCGGGATGGTATTGGGTTATGTATTGTCGTCATCTTAGAACTGCAGAGTCCAGAGGGAACCTATAGATCATCAAGTCCAGCCCTTGTCAAGAGGCACAGCAAGGAACCACATTCTGCCTGAACCACAGATCTCTCCGACAGTTGCCTTCTATCAAGCCAAGTGGACTAGTGGGTTAGAGTTGTGGCAACGTGGAGTGGGAATTTGGGAAATCCAGGATCCCGTTTGTATTTGAGCCATGCAACTCTGTGGATGATCTTTGACTAGGCGCTCTTGCTCAGCTTGACCAAACCTCCTGGATTTTTATAAGGATGAAGTGAGATCCAAGAAAGGAGCCCGGTGGTCTTGAACTCATAAGAGAAAAAGAAGGCTATAAATGCAAAGAATAAATAAAGCTCTGGTAATTGGTATATATAACTCCGTATTGGTATGCATGATAAAGGATAACAAAGTTGTATAACCTATGATATTTAAGGAAAAAAAATGTTTTGGTGATGGTTGCATGTTATTATCTTAGGCCCAGTTGAGAGACTTTTTTTTCCAGGTGGGCATTTGTTTATGCTGTTGGTGCTGAAAGAGGATAGAATTTACTGGGATTTGCATCCAAACTCCACTTCAAAAATTCCATTTCTCTTCCGTTTATGGAAAACATTGCTTCTTAAGAAATCCTGAAGAAAACTGTTTCTCTGTTAGAGCTTCTCTGCCGGAACTTTTTTTTTTTTCAACTGCTAATTGAAAACTCCTAATTGGGAGGCTGTCATGATGGAAATAAAGGAAATCAAACCAGAGTGCTCACTGGAAGGACAGATCCTGAAGCTGAGGCTCCAATACTTTGGCCATTTCATGAGAAGAGAAGACTCCCTGGAAAAGATGCTGATGTTGGGAAAGTGTGAAGGCAGGAGGAGAATCCAGGAGATTCAAAACAGTATTAAAAATAAGCCATGCTTTTAGGAAGGAGAAAAATGAGCAGAAAGTCACAAAGGAGAAAGCACTCTACTGAGAAAGAAAAGATGAACATTGCATGATGGGAAGAACTTGGTTCTTTAAGGAAAATAAATGCTAAGCGCCTTTAGAAGTTCAACTGTCCCCAGTGATTCTTGCAAAGAGCTGGCAGCAAGCTTCTACATCCCTTGGGGGGGGGAGTGTTGTTGTGGTCTCCTTCAGTTGTGATTGCCCTGATTGTTGTGGTGCATCTTTCAAAAAGACACCAGAGATACCCCGAGATGAAACTGATAAATAAACAGGAAGGAACAGATGGAGGAACTCATTCAACTGTCCAGAAAAGCATCGACAGAAGATTTGCCAGTGGTCTTGCCAAGCTGGAGAGAACACCATCACATCGGGTGAGTAGGAACCTTCTATGGGAAGGGGAGGAAAGGAAGCAAAAGCCCATCCTGGAAGGGCTGGCCCAAAATATCCTGCTGCCTGAGGAGAAGGACAAGATGGCTTCCTCTCCCTCATGGCTCCTAGAGAAGCTGAATGGGCTTCTACCTGGTGGCAACATGAGCACCTTCCCATCATTTATAGGGCAGTCACAGCGGAAGAGTCTGTGAGCTCCAACAGAAGCCCGGCCATTTCCTTTGACAAAAAGAAATGGCCGAGGAACTCAGAAGGAGCTTTAAGGAAGGTGCAGCTTCTGCACCTCCTCCCTGGTCTGAAGCCTGAGGTAGTTGCCTCCCTCTGCCTAATAGCAGGGCCGGCCCAGAATACAGACACGTAACAGGGAGCAATGGCTGGATTTGAATCAGGGTTTCTGGGCTGGATTTAGCAACCCATGACTTGAAGCAACTTGGTTGATTAGGATGCTGGGTGTTGCGAGCTTTCTTCTGAATCATCCATGAAAGAGCTGAAATGGAGATCAGAAATGGTTCTTATGTCCTGAACTGGTACAGGTTTACATACGTTTCATTCTAATGTTCACTTATCTCGTCTTGCATGGTGGGAGGAGAGAGGGTTAAAGGTCATGAGATGGGTTAGAAAATGGTCTAGGCAACATCTTTTAAAAGTTAAGCTGCATTTTCCAGGTATCTGTTTTTGTCCTCAGGTTTTGGAGACCATTTAGATTTTAGGCTTGAAAAGCCTGAAATCTTAGAGAAGGAGATGTTGCCAGCCAGCTCTGCCCTGATTTTAGAGTCCCTTCTCATGGCTTCAGAACGTAGGATTCAGATTTACTGAGAATCACCCTCGCCTTTTTCCCCCCATTCCTTTGCACACTTTGGACTTGTTGTGGCTGGAATTCACACATTAGCCTTTCAAATCATCAAGAGACTCTCTCTACATCAAATGTCCTTTAAAAGTCACATTTCAGACCCTTCCTTGCAACACAGTGAGATCGGGAATTCCAAATATGAGATTGGTGGGACTCATTTCCAGCTCCTCTCCTTGTGCACAGGAACGCAAGTCCGGACCTCGTCCTTCCATACTAATCTGTGCACATCACTTTCTTAATATCACTTCTATTTTAGGAGAAGGCAGTGGTTGATTCACACATTAGCCTTTCAAGTCATCACGAGACTCTCTCCACATCAAAGTTCAGTCAGAATGCTTATAAAAATATCCTTTAAAAGTCACATTTCAGACCCTTCCTTGCAACACAGTGAGATCGGGAATTCCAAATATGAGATTGGTGGGACTCATTTCCAGCTCCTCTCCTTGTGCACAGGAACGCAAGTCCGGACCTCTTCCTTCCATACTAATCCATGAACATCACTTTCTTAATATCATTTCTATTTAAGCAGAAGGCAGTGGTTCCCGGCCTTGGGTCTCCAGATGTTCTTAGACTACAATTCCCAGAATCTGGCCAGCACAGCTAACGGTGAAGATTTCTGGGAGTTTTAGTCCAAGAACATCTGGGGAGACCTCGTCCTTCCATACTAATCTGTGCACATCACTTTCTTAATATCACTTCTATTTTAGGAGAAGGCAGTGGTTCCCAGCCTTGCGTCTCCAGATGTTCTTGGACTACAATTCCCAGAATTTGGCCAGCACAGCTAATGGTGAAGATTTCTGGGAGTTTTAGTCCAAGAACATCTGGGGAACCAAGGTTGGGAACCACTGGCATAAGGGACCTTGTGGTGCTTTTTGCTTTCTAAACCTATCACATTCAAATAGTTCCTAAATACAGTTCCTAAATATGGAAGGGCCTTTCCATGCGCATGACTTCCTGTCATGGCTCCAACACTGCTTGAGAGTCATAGACTGTATGTGCCCATGTGAAGGGCATATACAGTGGTGCCCCGTATACCGAAGTTAATCCGTTCTGGATTAACCCTCGCTATACGGAATCATTGCTAAGCGGGTAGGGGAAACGTATTGAAACGCATTAAACTTCGTTTAATGCATTCCAATACGTTTGTTACTTACCCGTTCAGCGAGGATTCCAGGTGCTGGCAGCCATTTTCGCGCCTTCGCTAAGCGAGGGCAGGGTGCGAAAACGGCTGCCGGCAGCCATTTCCGGGCTTCCGGCGGCCATTTTGAATAGATAAATATTTGATTATTATGCATTCATCTTCTTGGTTTTAGTTTGTTGGCTTTATGTGTCGTACCTGTGAAGGTATGTGGCTAATGCAAATAAATACTCTTATCCCACAGAAAGAGAGAGTGAAAAACTTTGGGGAAAAAATCATGGATTCCTTTTCCTTTTTCTCCTATGATGAGTTTCCGTCCTCATTGATCAACAATGACTCCTATAATTTCAGTTGGAATGGAGACTGGCCCTCGGATACTTCCCATCACATTCCCCACCTTTCGGGCATGATGGAAATGGTTTCCGTAGCAATTTACATCATTGTCTTGCTTGTGGGGGCCACAGGGAATGGTGTAGTGATCTTCCTAACTGGTTTTCGCCTGAAGAAGACGGTGACCACCATATGGTATCTCAACTTGGCCGTGGCCGACTTCATTTTTGCTGTTTGCCTCTCCTCAGATATAGCTTATTTAGCCCTGAAAAGTTGGATTCTGGGAAGACTGATGTGTAAACTTGACTCTGTGGTCCCCTTCCTTAATATGTTTGCCAGCGTCTTCTTCTTGACCACCATCAGCGTTGACCGCTGTGTTTCAGTGGTGCACCCAGTCTGGGCCTTAAACCATCGTACCCTTCAGCTTGCTTCATTCATGGCTGTGGTCATCTGGGTGATGGCTTTGTCTCTCAGCTCACCGTACTTCATCTTCCGGGACACAGAAGACTCAGAAGATGGCACTGTCCAATGCATTTACACCTTCAGTTTGGGCAACGATAGTGATCTATGGAAACACCGTTTCTTGGTGGCTACTGAATTTGTGCTTGGCTTTCTCATCCCCTTCACCATCATTCTGACCTGCTACTGCGCCATTGTCATCAAACTAAGAGGGAAAATCTTTGGCCGATTTAGCCGATCCTTCAAAATCATCATAGCCGTCATTGTAGTCTTCTTCTGTTGCTGGTTTCCCTACCACCTCTTCTCTATTCTTGAAACACTGGAGGATGACAGCCTGGAAATGAAACACATCCTTGATCTAGGCTTTCCACTGGCTTATGGACTGGTTTGTCTCAACAGCTGCCTGAATCCCCTCTTGTATGCTTTCCTTGGGCTGGACTGCAGAAAAACCAGCAAGCGGTCCTTCCTATCAGCCTTTAGAGGAGCTTTTAGCGACAGCTGGACCGTGCCCTCTTTCTCCAGCAACAGAAACTCTAGCTCCACGTCAGGAGTGGAGTCCACCATGGTTTGACATGTCTTCCTACATGCTCAGCAAGTCTATGTGAATGTTTCATACACTTAACCAAATCTATACCCTGTTCCAGGCCACTGTGTTTACAAAACTGGCTTTGTACAGCTTGTTGGATATCTCAGAGACATGGAAGAGAGGGCCTTTCTACAGATGGGCAGGTTCATCTCTCGGTCCAAAAGGTGTTCTGCTGTTCCAATCCCTGCCTTCTCTGGCAGGTGCTCACCCAGAGACAGTGCCCAGAGGAGGCAGGGCAGGGAATCCAAGGCACTGCTTTTGAGTGGCCCACCTGCCTAGGAGGTGGGGCTCAGAACATCTGTTGGACCAATGGATGAACCAACACGAACCACTGAACCAGCAGTTCATGCCCATCTCTAGTGATCACTTGGACTTCATCGCCTATTAAAAACAAAAATGAAAAAGCAACAGCATGCATGGATCAAAGAGGGTGCAGATTTACATGAATTTTGCAGATTTACATGAATTTTTGTGTTTTTTTAAATTGCCTAAATCTAATTAGTAACACTGACAAATCCCTAGAACAGACCTTCATAGAATCATAGAATCATAGAAAAGTGAAGTTGGAAGGGGTCTATGAGGCCATCAGGTCCAACCCCCTGCTCAATGCAGGAATACAATCGAAGCATATCTTCCAGGTAATTATCTAAGGTTTTCTTGAATACCTCCAGTATTGGTAAAGGTAAAGGTAAAGGTAAAGGTTCCCCTTGACAATTTTTGTCCAATCGTGTTCGCCTCTAGGGGGCGGTGCTCATCCCCGTTTCCAAGCCATAGAGCCAGCGTTTTGTCCAAAGACAATCTTCCGTGGTCACTGGCCAGTGCGACTTAGACACGGAACACTGTTACCTTCCCACCGAGGTGGTCCCTATTTATCTACTTGCATTTGCATGCTTTCGAACCGCTAGGTTGGCGGGAGCTGGGACAAGCGACGGGAGCTCACTCCGACACGTGGATTCGATCTTACGACTGCTGGTCTTCTGACCCTGCAGCACAGGCTTCTGCGGTTTAGCCCACAGTGCCACCACATCCCTTAGTATTGGACCACTTGCCAACTCCTGAGGTAACTGGTTCCACTGTCATAACAGGACGTTTTTTCAGATATTCAACCAAAATCTGGCTTCCTTTAACTTGAGCCCATTGTTACATGTCCTGCACTCTGGGATG